CTTCCGCATGTGCTTTGAGGTATCCCGTGGAGGGAGTGAAGAGTGAGAAAGAGGGAGTCAGACACCCGGCGAGGAGGAGGAGAAGGAGGAGGAGGAAGAGGAGGAGCAGGGTGGGACAGGGCGGTTGCATAAAGCACGAGTTAACTCCGCTGATAGTAGCTATGGAAGCCCGTTTCTGCCACATAAAAAAAAATGCAGTATAGAAAGTCATAATCGTGAGATAATTTTTATTATTGTCACTAATGTGCAATATTTTCCTCTCTCACTGTGCAATAACACTTTCCAACTATAGCCTGTGTAATTTTTTTAAATGTATTTATAAGGTCAGTACATCTCTGCAGTGGAAGGGCAATAACCAAAGTCCCTTATAGCGGAGGTCTTCAACAGGGGGACCGCGACACCTAGAGGGTCCACAGAGGTACTGCATGGGGGTCGGGAAATGTGTTGGTTGATTACACTTTTTTTATTTTTTTATCCCCCCTTCAATTTTTCCCACTAATTGAAATGTCTTAAAGTACACATGAACACTTATTCAACTCGCTGAAGTAAACAGATAAAGCACAGCTTAACTTTCTCATTTGAATTGAGAAAGCTTCCTGGAGGGGAAGCGAAACGTCTTCAAACCTTGGCCACCAAGTCCAGTGGATTTGTTTTTTTTTTTGTTTGTTTGTTTGTTTTGTTTTTTTTACTTTTACGGAATAAACAGATAAATGGAGGCAGAAGATGTCTTTCAGGCATCAATGCACATTCAGCGACACACAGGAGCTCTTTCAAGGGGGGCACAGTTTCATTCACCACACCTGTCCCATCAACCAGGAAGCAGAATCAGAAATACTTTGATAATCCCAGGGTGAAATTACTTTCATTACATGACTCCCTATGTAATAGAGTCACTATAGGACCAGTTTGATATAACACAATTTCATACAATATAAATAATTAGGGGGTCCCCGCTCCATCTCGCTATAAGTTTGGGGCTCCTTGCCCTGGAAAACATTGAAGACCCCTGCCTTAGATCTCTATGGTGCAGATATTTTTTTCATCTAAGGGAAACATAATCCGGGACATTACAACTTTTTTAAATTATTTTTTAAAATCTTTTCTGGTACATTATACACACTTTTATACTGTCTGTCGTATTTTTATCTTTAATGGCATCTTGCTTTAACTCTTGTGCTCTATATAAGCTACTGGAACCAAAATGTCCCTGAAGAAGTAATCCCAAGGGATAGAAAAGTTGAGTCTAAATCTAATTATGAGATAAAATGTTTGAAAGTCGAATATCTCATAATTATGACTTTGAAAGTTGAAATTATGACTTTGAACAGTGTTCCACAGAAATGGGCTTCAATAGAAATGAGCCTTATCAATCAGTCAGTTATTATTAATCTATATATCAGGATCCATTAATTACTTTATTAGATCGACTAAATCTATTTGGAAATATGCTTTACATTGTTAAACTCAGTCTCACCACAGTATTCATAAACTGAATCTTTTAATGGAGAGTTTCTGTGATTAGGTGCAGGTTTTTAAACTTTACTTTAAACAGTAATTCATTTCCTGTATTTAACCATTTGAAATTGTCAGTTATAAGGTGTGGAAACTAAGAATGATAAATTATACACATAAACCTTTGTGTTTACATCGTTGTTGTTTTTCTTGTTTTCACATTTTTGTTTTCCCATTTCTGATTTTTGAATATGAAGCACTGCGTGTTTTTCTTGTTAATGTTAATAAAAGTGCTTTTTTTATTTTCTAGACAAAATATTAAATTAATTGAATAACTGCTTGATAATACAACGTCATAGTAAAATTTAAAATAATTAATATAATAATAAAGAAATATGTTTGATTTAACCTGTTAATTTGCCACTATAAAATATTTTTAAAAAATATTTTCTAATTTGGATCGTTATCCCCACTAGGTTCTCATTTAAATAGTTTTGTCGCCATCTACTGGTTAATGTACGACACTGCAATTTCATTTAGGCCGCTGGTGGTTACAACCATCCCTATACCATTTTGCTTCACTGGCTAAATTAAGTTACCCATTTATTAAATTGCTCTGCTTGTGTTTCTTGAATGCTACAAAAATTACGATAAAAATTAGATTTAGTTATGATAAAAATATATATCCTTTTTTGTGACTGCTTTCAAAGGCATATTTTATATGGTGAAAAATAAAAATAAATAACCAGTAGGCATACATAAGTGGCTTTTGGTTTTATCATTGAGTGTGACAGCGTAATAAACATACTCTTTACATATATAGAAGACTGATTAATTTATTGACTGACCGATTATATGACATCTTAGTAATATATAATTTTATAGTAAAACTGAAAATTCGTAATAGAATAATAAAAAATCAACCAAATGTGTTAAACTACAATTAACAACAGAGACTAATCATATGTGTGATCAATTACACCAATAATAATATTTTAATAACAACATTTACAAATTTGTGGATTACTTTATGTGTTTAATTTAAAGGATTTATGTCGCCATCTAGCGGTTAATATATGTCATCGCATTTTAAAACCCTTGCTTCTAATGCTAAAAAAAAACTAAACACTGACGTGCTTATTTTTCCAAATACGTTGTCATCTTTTAGAATAGCTACTTTCTGTCATCTTAGTATGTGAATGAAATCACTTTAATAGTTTTGTAATTATTAATTCTCGAACCTTAAAAGTAGTGGTAAAAAGCGGAACCTTTGGTGCGGCTTAACGAGTCTACCGGAGTGTAGTTAGTGTGGCACAGTGTCAAAATCACAAGTCCAGAGCTGCAAAGCTTTTTGAGGGAGAAACGTTCAATCCGAGGTATTTCTTCTTGTTTTATGTAAATCAATGTCTTGTTTGTTTTGTTTTTTTGCCGCTGTGGTAGAGAGATAAACTGTCTGTACTTTGTTTCATTATTACTGTTTAACAATTGCTTTTGATTATATCTAAATGACTAACTTCTTTGCTTTAGGAAATAAATATTTATATATAATATTTTGTTAGTAAATAAACCTGCCTTGAATTGTACAGACAGAAAACCGGATTTCACACATAACAGTCATTAACCCTTAAGAGCCGTTCTGTTGAATTAGCATTAATAAAAGCTGTTCTTATTAGATCTTATTGCTCATTAGGTTCACATGATGGAGGAGGAGGATGATTGTCCAGAGTTGGTGCCCATCGCAAGCGATCCAGGTCCCCCAGCTCAGCAGATCCCAGTCACCATCATAACTGGATACCTTGGTGAGATCTGTACTCATAGCTGCAATGAGCCAATCAGGGGATTAAAGGCTCAGACAAAGGTGCTGGATTGCCAGCTCTCAATGTTAGATGAAATCTAACAGGCAGCTCACCAGTGTATCCACACGCATTAAACTTTTACCCATTTTACCAGGGCACAGCCACAACTTCACTGGCTGTTCACATACTTTCATCTCATTGGCGAACATAAACTTATACTTTTGAAAATATTGGCTCCAGACTTTGACTTTCACATGTCACAATGTGCACTATTTGTTGCTACAACACAAGGTTCTCAAATAGATCTGACTGAGACATTGATGCAGCAATGATTGGAGGGGAAATTTAGGAATAGAATAGAATTTAACTTTATTGTCATTACACTGTCACAAGCACATAGCAACAAAATGTAGTTTGAATCTATCCAGAAGTGCAACACAGGATATAAATATTTATTTACATGTTTGCAGAGACTATAATGGATTGACTGTAAATGGTAAATATAAACAGATAGTAATTGTAAGAGGCTATAAAATAAATCAAACTGGAATTATATACAAATTATACAGGAAATTTAGGAGATGGATTATATTTATATTAGTGGGGTTATAATACAGGATAAATTATGACAGATAATAGCAGATTTACAGATTATATACAGCTATAGTTGAGGATGTATTTGTTCTAACCGCAATTTAGTTATTTAGTAACAAATTAGTTATCATTTTACGACTCGTACACTGAAAATTAGGAAAGATGGATTGGGGAAAGGACTTGTCAGGACTGCAGGGTTTTATCCCGCAAAGAGTGCAACTCTACTATTTACTCGGCTGTTTTTTTTTTTTTATGCATGAGCACTAAATTAGCAGTTGGTTTGTCTGTTACAGTAGAGTAACTGGCCACGGACCATGGTTCAGATTCACTGGCAGAATAGAACCGATTACCTTAACAAAATTGTCCTGTAGGTTGCTTCACACCTTTCCTGTTCCTGCTGAAGAAAAGAACCC